GTTACATTGAGGGATTGTACTATAACTTCAGCAGGGGGAGGATAGGTTGGACATATGTCAGGTTATTTTCTACGGCCACACCAAGTAATTGTTATGGATGACGTCCACTGGAGACCTTAAATCTAATTACCTTAAATTTAAGGCAAGCGCGCAATAAAAACACGAAGGGCCGAAAAACGAGATGCCTAGATTTGGAATATACTAACTGTAGAAGTACAAATGTTAGGACACAAAGAACACAAGAAACAAGTCTTCTATTTGTCATAAAGACAAATTAACAAAACAGCAGTAGTCATCCTGTTCTGATTCTTTCCTTTATAACATCTTCTCTTATTATATTTTGCGGCGCTGTCGTGACACTTTCAACACAGTAAGAATTTCTTGAACGTTTTTTTCCAGTAACAGTCCAAGCTCAAATAACGTAGGGGGGGGGGGCTAACACGGGTGACGACGCATCTGTATAATCTGCGGCAAACCGTTTCAGGGTGTTCTGTACCATAAAAATAGTACAGAGATTCTTTTGTTCTTTTAATAGACCAAATTGATTATTAAAAAGAGTGAAGAATACGCATGTTAATTTCTCTAGAACGATGTACCTCTGACGAAGACATGAGATCTCCGACCTCTAGTTGAAAAAAAATGATAATACAAGTCATGAATTAAATGTAAGTCGAATTAATATACATTGTACCTAACATACGCATCGATACATCCAGTGCATCTTTATTGTGTCCAGCTTCGCCATGAAGGTTATGTTTTCAGATTTGTTCGCGCGTGTGTGTGTGTGACTGTCTGTCTGTGTGTGGGTCTGTAAACACGGTAACCTGAGAAGGCTTAATTGTATTGAGTCGATATTTGGTAGGTAGGTAGGTCTTGATGGGACCTCAAAATTATTTTTTGGCCCTTCTAACAGCTTATTATGGTACATCAGCTGAATTTCCGGTTTTCATATCTCATGACCTAAACATGCTAGGGTCACGCAAGTTAAATGATAGGTAGCTCTCATTTTGGGTAAAAATGACGTGAGTTTGGGCCCCCTAGCAGCTTGCTCTGAAACTGCTGGGGCGTTTGGTTAATTATATACAAAAGAAAATAACTTCAGAACCGATAAACGGATCGTTGTGATTTTTGGTATGTAGGTAGCTTTCGTGATGTTTGACATCATTATGTGGCAATTTCGCAAATATGTATTGAATTTGTATAATTTATTAGGAAATTCTATAAACCAGCTGTATTACATGATAGGACTATCCAAGCTTCTGGCATATATAATTTTGATTAAGTATTAATTTACATAATTAATATCTGCGTTTCTTTTGTTCCTAAAAGAACAAAAGAAACACAGGCAAATATTAATTATGTAAATTAATACTTAATCTTATATTTAAGGAGAAAATGTTACAATCTTACAATGGTAACTGCCTGGAATTTCATACTTAGAAATGAGTGCAACCAATGTGTAATACACCAGTTATGCCTTGGCCTCGGTTTCAAACAGGGACCGTAACCATTGTGTTGCGATATGTTTCTGGACTATTTTTTGGGGGGGGGGGGCTAATTGACTTGAGCAGGCCCCAGGTGGTTTCAATTCGGACTTATCAGTCAAGGGTTACTCACATGCACTTACCAGAACAATTTCTGACAAAAAATTACTCTGTTCAGCCCGGGATCACTTTTCGTGTTTGGTAAACAGCGCTGTACCCCCACACAGCAGTGTGTAACAAAATCAAATTATATCCATGGCCAGTGCAAAGCACAGAAAACACCTTACATCCAATACCTCATTTATGCTGAGGTCACATTTCTAAGCCGGGACCCGGCCGGGCTGTTTCGATTAACGAAAAGTCAATAATTTATATCAATAATACACGCAGATAGTTCCCATCATTCATTTTCCCCACATTTTTGTGCTTTGTTGTCTTTGATGTCATGGTTTTCGTTCCACAAGACTGCCCGCCCGGGCCCCGGTTTGGAAATGTGACTTCAACATTAGCCTCCCTGATTATTGTGACTAAGACATACCTTAGTCGCAAAACAATTGCAAACCGCCCTTTTTTCCCGGAAAATGAATAGGGCCACCATGGAGAGAAATTAAAGATAGGCCAACACGTGCAAAGATTTTTCGTTTATTTCTACTATTCAACCACAATACTAAAGATACCACGGAATCTGATGTTCAAGGTGCGACTTTATGGTGCATGCTACAAACGTAATCCAACTATGTTGACACTTTGACAGTATAATTTGCAATTTTCAGAGCAATTTCTATTACTTTCTTTCTATTTTTTAAACCTTTTACGAAACTGTAAAGCCCTGTTCTTAAAATTATTTCAGAGATTACATATCGTAATCATCGGAGATAGTTTGTTAGAAAATGTTCAACAATTTGTTTTCCTTTTTGAAACAGGAGTGACGCGCGTCGATGCCACTCCTTCCCCACGTTTTCAGAAAAAACGTAGCAGACGTAGCCTCCCAAAAACGTACGGACAAAAAGCACGTACGGCGGGTTGTGACCTAGGCTTTAACATTACATATTACAGGACTAAAAAAATACAAAAATAACGTAGTAGACCATGAAATTGGCTGGTCGACATATTGCCGATACTTTTACCCGTAAACTATATATAATAATAGAATATTGTAACTCTATTAGTAATAATGAGGCATAAAAGAAGATACAGTTATTTTCATGTTGATGATTTGTCTAAGAATGGACATTATTATCACTTGATGGACGGAATAGTTAATAGTCATTTTCAGACAGAAAATATCGTTTTTTTATTCTATATTTGATTAACAATTTGTGTGTTTTTATAGAAAGGTTTTATTGGAGTAAATTGGTTAAAAGAAACTTTACTCAGGTGTATGGTAGATTCAAACTTCAAATTTCAACTTAAAAGTCAGAACCTTAACAACAAGGCTCCATTGACACCTAGGCATGGTGTGCTTGACAGATGGTCTAATATGGGTGTTATATTGTTTCAAAGATGCTAGGTATCATATAGGTTCTTAAACTTGTTCGGGGATTTTAATATTTTACTGTTATAGATGACCGAACTCAACACTAGAGAAGAGTTCACAAAATCATTGACGTTAATAACGAGAGGATGCTGTGAGAAGATTGTTGTCGTAAAAGACATGCACTGTACACCAGGGCACAGCAATCTTCATTCAAAAGAGAAGGGGGTCGGTATAGACTTCCAACGACCTTTGACCAGGAACTTTCGCGAAACTTCAGGAAAGTGGAGTGGAAGGCTAGAAAACTGGTCAACAAGCAATTGAATAGGGTCAAAGCGCAAGCTCGGCAAAAAATTTCAAAACTATAATATTTAATGAGGGCTAGAATGTTTTTTCGTAAGCTAGTTACCTTTCAGTTTGGGGTCCTTTAATAGTTGGTCGATAAATTTAAATCAGATTATGAGCCAGCACGTCATCACTATCAAACTTTGTGGTATGTGCCTGCCGTATATTAAGAGATTTCCTTATTTTTCCATGGTCATAGAATCTGTTATAGGATTCTTTTATATTGTGTTCTCACATTTTTGTATAGTGAATACATTTTTGTACAATACATTCAGGACTGAAACTTCTTGCCCTGTGCTGCATGATAAATTTCCAACTTTAGAGATTATATTGTGTCGGTCGGACCAAGAGTTTTCTGTTCATCAGATCGCTTTAAATGCGTATCTTTTTGTAAGGGTTTATTTGCTGGTTGGGTCATATCATCGTGCAATAGATTTAGATCTGATATTTCATGCCCTGTGCTGTATGATGGATTTTCAGCATCCAATGATTGAGCGATTGTGTCAGATGGACCAGGGGTCTTCCCTTCAGCAGATGGCTTTGAACTTGTATCATTTTGTTTTAGTTTATTTGGCGGTTGGCCCACGTTTCTGAACAATGAGTTTATATCTGAGACACCTTGCTCTGTGTCGAATGATTGATTTCCAGCATCAGAGGATTTGGAGATTGTGTCAAATGTACCAACGGTCTTCCTTTTACCAGATTGCTTGAAACCTGTATCTTTAGGTCTGGGTTCATTTTGTTGTCGGTCCACATCTTCATACAGATGAAGATCTGAGTCAGAGGGTAAGATATCAGCCTCGTCGATATGTGAGGGAATAAGGTTTGGCTCAGCTTTCGCAGGAATGTTTCTGTTGGCCGATACGGCATCCTTATTGATAGCAGGATGCTCCTGATCTTTTAGGTTCTTTAGTGTGTCTACATCTTGGTACGTGGAATTGGGCTGCATGGCAGTGTTGATTGTAGTGTTTCTAGCAACCAGAACAACTGGACCTAAAGGAGGATTACTGGTCTTCCTCTTGTACCAGATTGCGAGGATAATGATACCAATGAAGATGATGCAAAGCAGTGCAACAGTAACAGAAATAAAGAGAACGGGGCGGGAGAAGCGGGGAGTAGAATCTTGAGAAGCACTGCTTTTTGGTTTGATTGTATCAAGAGACATTGTTGCAACTGTGTAGCCTACAGAATGTAGCGTAAGGTCAGCATTGCGTTTAAAGAACCAGACATAACGAGAGGGTGATTTCGAATTAATGGTAACATTATAGGAACAGTTGTCTGCACTTTTCTGACCAGAATTTAACACTGGGTATTCTGTGTTGTCAGATGGAGAGGTGAACACACTTTGAATAACACGTTTGGAACTTAAAGGAGCTGATGTAGACATACTATTGTTTTCTTTTTTACCAAAAGGAGTTGTCACATCTGCAGTTGAGGAGAAAGTGGATTCTATGTCGACAGGGATTACCGATGTGGTTGCCTCCTTACAGATCAGATCTACCGGATTGATGTCTACAAGTTTCTTTCGTCTGAGCTTGGTAGGTTTGGCGCATTCTATTTGATTTTCAAATGAAGACGACCCATTTATGTTCAGCCTGAAAGGAATCATCTTACAGTCACACAGCCATGGGTTGTTTTTTATTCTTATATCTGGTACTGATGACAATATGCTGTGAACAGAGAGGGGAATATGTGACATCTGGTTGTTGCTCAGATAAAGCCTTTGAAATCGGGTCAGATTTGAGAATGCATGTGGATTAATGCTAGTTATTTGGTTGTAACTCAGTGTCAAGTCCTGGAGATGGGGAAGGCCTGAGAAAGTACCCGACGCAATGCTAGTTATTTGATTAAATGATAGCCTCAAGGTATTGAGCTTGGGTAGACGTAAGAAATTGTCAGGTAGTATGCTAGTTATTCTATTGTGGTCCAAGGTCAAGGTTCTGAGGTGGGATAAATTTAAGACTGTAACAAAGTTAATATTAGTTATTTGGTTCTGAACGAGAGACAAGGTCTTGAGCTGACGTAACTCGGAAAATGACCCAAGTTCAATGCTTGTTATTTGGTTGCCAATCAGGCGCAAGGCGCTGAGCCCGGGTAGATTTGATAATGCCCCAGTGGTGATGCTTGTTATTTTGTTGACGGACAAATGCAGAGTATGAAGCCTAGGTAGATATGTGCCAGGGTTAACACTAGTTATTTGGTTGTAACGAATGGACAAGAAGCTTAGCTTGCATAGACCAGAGAATGTGCCTGGCTGAACCTTTGTTATCTTGTTTGAGTCGAGCAATAGGTTATGGAGATTTGATACATTCGTGAAGGAATAAGGTTCAATTCTACTGATGTTATTCGATTGCAGATACAAATGTTGGAGTTTAGGTAAGTTGGCAAAACACGTGATACTGCTGATACGATTTCCATCTAACTTTAGATCGTTCAGTCTCTTCAACATGCCGAGCGCTGAATGATTTAAAGTTGGTATCTGGTTATTGCTCAAATCTAATACAGTCATGAAGGTCGCTGGTAGGTTCTGAGGAATGCTTTTTAAACCCATCCCTTTGCATTTGCATATATATGCCCATCCTGAACAGTTGCAGTCACCGTTGACTCGCATATGTGGCTCTTTCAGAATAATGATAAGGAAAATCAGCCAATGTCGCAGCTTTCTTCCCATATTGTCCTCCCAGCTGAAAACAAACAGTAGGAATCAATGGTGAACTAAAAAAACATGGATGCATTTGCCTTCCTCTCATCACGGAATTTAAAAAGCCCCCGTAAATATTAAAGGAATGTATAGATATCTAATATGCTGATGAATTTCGTGATAGAAATCCGACATCTTCAACATTTAAACATGGTAGAGAATATAATTAGTCACATAAGACCAAACACGTACAAGGACGTGACTCTTATCTGACTAAGCAATTGTCTTAATCTCTTTTTACTGCACTACATATCAACTTCTAAAGCATTTAAGAAATGATCACTACATACGTTTTAAACATAACAATACACAAGACAATTTCTAATATACATTTATTGTTCACAGAAGGAACTTAGTCACAACAGCCAGGTTTAGTCACTCATCTTACAGTAAATCCTTTGTTATTTAAGTCTAATATAAGGGCCAAAAGCTTGGCAACAACAACTAGATATCCCTTATGTTAGGTTATGTTAATCAGCCATCTGACTGCATGTTTTGTAATCACTACACCAAATGCTGAGGGATTTCAAAATCTCAGACCTCCCTAAAATATTCAGTTAATTCAGTGTTTGGAGATATCTTGTTGTAGTTGTTTTAACGTTTTCCCCATTATTTACAGATTCAATGTATTATTAAAGCAAAGGAAGTTTATATATTTTTAAATAATTTTTGTTCACGTCCGCATAATGGTAGTTTGTTTTTAACGAATAAGAAAGGAAGATATGTTTCTGTTGTTTTGTTACACTGCATGTATTAATACCTATTCAAATGATAGCGTTAATTGTCTGAGTATTGTATTTGAATATAAAATCTAGTATGTTGTTTACTCCATGTTGCCTTCAGCACGTCGAAAAACAAGAAAACTATACTTCGTCCTGTATTTTGACAGAAACAGTACTGGTATCAAAATAATTCTCAAAATCTTCTCGATTTTTCATAGTGATTTGCAACATAACAAAAAGAAATTGCATTTTGTATGTCTGATTTTGTAACACTTACTGTGTTACACTTAAGTGAAATAAGGCCGGAACAACTACAATCCATATATACAGGCCCAGAAAAAAAAACAAGAAACTGTCATTCCTTAAAATATAAAGAATTTAGATGTTAAAGATTTTCATTTTTCAAAGAACCTATCGTACAGTGCCAACAAGGCATCATCACAAGAAAGCTTCAAACTACACCTGCAGTTAAATGTACAAAGATTGGGTGTAACAGGTCGTTCGGTGTAATATAGCTGCGTGTAATATAGCATTGTGCATGCGAAGCTGGGGTCGTACGCAGAGAGGCAGCTATACCGGCTATACCCGATACAGATGGCTTATCAAGCCCAAATGACTAATCTTGTAGAAATTAGCTTTTTTTACAGTGACATTCTTGGACTATATTGTTAGCTAACCGTACGTTCCGAGTGCCTATGTTCACTAACTTAAAGGCTACGTTAATACCCGGTCCTTTGAAGTCAGATGTCCTTCACTATACCTTACAAACCCTACAGACATTAACATCCCACTAGAAGAGTGGGATCAGTGCAAAATCAAATGTAACTCAGATGAAATTTACTTCGCATTTTGTACTGCGTCAAATATATGCATTTTGTAGTAGCAGAACGTAATGAATTATATCATGAGACAGTTTATCGGTTATTTAATACGTGGACAACAGACTAACCTTTGCAGTCGATCCAAGTTTGTCTTGCAATCTCTTCAAATTATCTTCAGTTTTTCATGTCCAGACGATCCTGACAAATCTTCTGGTAAGAGCTTTAGTTGCGTTGTGGCACACGCGCTCTCAAGGGCGGCTTTTTAACGGAGTGTGACCAGTTTGAGATTGGTCTCACTTATATGATTCTGTCGATTTAAGGTCTCTTCTTGAATATTAATACCTGAAAGATTGCCTTAATTTGCAATTTTATTGCCTCGATCTATTTTTAACAGTTTTTAAAGCACCTGTTTTGTTCCCATGTTTACTTTTTTGCAACGATAAATTTGAGAAAAAAACTCTAAGTTGAAAATACAATTCTATCGAGAGGCAATGTAGTTGTTACCTCATGCGTTTTACTCTAATGGTTGTATTGATTGTCTGAAGCTCGTATTATATTAATATTCACATTTTGCTTGTTGTTTACCCTGGGGATTTTATGCGGTTGAAAATACTAACCTGAGACCCACGAATTTTTAGACAAAAGTTATCAAAATAATTGCGGTTAATTTTGCTTTAAAATCGTACAGGCTACATACGATTGACAAACTCTGTATTATTAGTTATGAATCTGTTCCTATAATCATGTTGATGAGAAATAATAAAGAGAAATACGTATTTTGCTAGGGTACGTTAAGACCCCACTGTAACAAAAACACGAACTTCATAATCTAATTTACAGCAATAAGAACGATCGCGGTAAATAATTAAAAAAAGTTGAAAGATATAAAGTAACATACAAATAAACGCATGTATTGTTGTATATACTTGTCCAGTCGTCATGTCAGGAAATGGTAAAAAAAAACTAAGTAAAACAATTTTGAAAGCCTGTGTCAAAAAAGAATTTAAAAAACGCCTGGGGGTATTTGGCCACTTTATCGTCATGTTAAGTTTCATGTTATTTTGTCCCAAAAATGACAGAGTTGAATCCATTTAAAGAAACGGCAGGAGGAGAAAAAGAAGACGCACGAGAGAACACGATATGTTTCACCAAACCACATTACCAAAGTCTCCGCACTTTTTTGTTGCTTCAATAAAGAATCTGTATAACCGGTTCCAAGACGTGGACTAGCCTACTCACCACCGGGGCAGGCAGGTTGTACCATTCCCATAGGGGGAACTCCATGGATCAGAATATTAGATCCTTACACTAGCTAAAACGTCTGGCCGTTTCCAAATTCATAATCATTATCCAGTTTCTTGAGTAACTTCTTCTTGGCGCAGATAGATAACTGCAATTAGTTCAATTAAGGCTTGCCCAAAATTGCCCAATACACAACTCAATAGACAACTAAGTCTTTGTGAAATCTTCACACCTGCATGACATATAGCCAGGGGCCCGGTACAATCCCTCTTATTATCACATCTCACCGGTGATCAGCCTGGCAAGAAATTCTGTAAGTAGCAACTCATACTTTCACTTGTAAAACTTTTGATTTGTTATATGTGTTTGTTATTGTAAAACCTCCTGTTTATATACCAGACATACACGTATGAGGTAATTTTTACAATAACGTTACGTTTCACCGCCGCACTTCAGCTGACAGAATTCACCCGACAGTCGCATGACATGCATATACTCGTATTGTCCTTGTGTAGACGAAGACTTAGTAGTGAAATTTTCACACCCGTAGCATAGGCCAGGACTTCTTCATCTACGAACCCTCTACGTCGCCAACCCTCTCGTCGTTGGATAGCTTACTGTAGATAGTAGTAGTCGTTCTAAACTACCACCAGGGAACAAGACTGGTTATCTGGCCATTAGTCAGGTCCCCTGGGAGTCTGAATGTGAAAACAGTACGCCCGTCTATGTTAATTAGCACGGTGCCCAGACTATTGCAGTTGGGCGGGTTCTCTTCCGGGCTGCAGCTGAGATCTTCCCCGCCCGGCTCACACGTACACGAAATACAGTGCGAAATACACGGAGTACATATGAAAATGGGTGGCATCTACTGAAATAAAGTATGATTTGATGAGTAAATATTACAGGTGTTATATTTCGGCATAAAATAATATATATGGCCCAGGCGTTAAGGGAAAGACAGAAAACACTTGTCAGCCATTTAACATGTGTTAACCGCCGAAATGAGTCCTTAGCATGGTTCACAGAATTTATCATAGCGCAGTCAGAATCGGGAAAGCCAGGCTAAAATATATGTCGTTGTAATCCTTACAAGTCAGGGAACCTCGGGAAGTTCACTTGAAGATCACACTTGTACACAAAAACGAGCTTTGTAGCGTCAAAGTTGACTCATTTCCATTTTTCGGCGAGGTTTCCGCCATTGAATTTCCGTCAAAATACGCACCCTATGGGGGTTTCGCGGTATCTGGTTGCATCTGTTTCCGGGTCACGCCCAGCGACGTCATTACCCGGCGAAGGGCCGCTGCCAACAGCCAAGGGCAGTGTACTGCGCAATACTCACCCTTTCGGGAAAGAATGCTCAAGAATTAACGTTATATATATGGCTCTTTTGCTTCAACTGAACGAGCCACTGACATGTATGCACATGTGTAAAAACGAGTACGCTAGCAATCATTCGATAGCCGATACATTTTGCCTCGTATCGTTGCAAACACGTCGACGACAACACGACTTTCACCTGAATCACATTGCGCCCCGAAAATTACCTAATTTTTACCAAAATTGTTGTTAGACAGCATGAAGACAGTCCGACTTTAAAAATCTCAATCGTTGCAAAATCGTCTCCCGTGTATATAATTGAAATCATGCAAGTCAGGCTTCTTCGGAGTGCATAGAAGTGTATAAATATTGTCGCCCAGCCCATATAGGCTGATAGGACACCATGCATGAGTACGTGGGATACAGAAATCACATGTAAACATAAGTATAAAATAATCATCAACTAGAAAGGTGACCTTTGCAAAGCCGTTACGGTTTCACAACTTCTTCCAAAAAATCCTTCACCCTTTGGCGAGTACTCTTTCTCGCAAAGGCGATTAAGGTCTGCCCTCCGCGTGTATCATATAAATGATACACGCAAAAGTCGGGTCGTCTTCGAAGTACCTTATGTATCATTTCAATGATACGTGTAACTACCTAGGTTTCAAATTCGGACTGACTTCCAATATAGTAACCCCACTATCATATCTACGCATGTGTGAGACGGGTACACTGTACCAGCAATCATTTAAATAGCTAATAGAAGAGTTACCACTTGGCTCTTCAAAAGCCGCGCCAATAAGGTTTCGCAACTTCTTCCCAAAAATCCAATTACGCTTTGGCGAGAATATTAGGGTCTGCCCTCCGTGTATATCATATAAATGATACACGTAAACGTCGGGACGTCGGGTTGTATACCTAGCTGGTGTGTTACGCCGAAGGGCGGTTATACCGGCTATACAGATACAGATAAAAAAAATCCCTTCACCCTTTGGCGAGTACTCTTTCTCGCAAAGGCGATTATGGTCTGCCCTCCGTGTCTATCATATAAATGATACACGCAAAAGTCGGGTCGTCTTCGAAGTACCTTTTGTATCATTTCAATGATACGTGTAACTACCTAGGTTTTCCAAAGTCGGACTGACTTCCAATATAGTAACCCCACTATCAAATCTACGCATGTGTGAGACGATAAAAAAATCCCTTCACCCTTTGGCGAGTACTCTTTCTCGCAAAGGCGATTATGGTCTGCCCTCCGTGTCTATCATATAAATGATACACGCAAAAGTCGGGTCGTCTTCGAAGTACCTTATGTATCATTTCAATGATACGTGTAACTACCCAGGTTTTCCAAAGTCGGACTGACTTCCAATATAGTAACCCCACTATCATATCTACGCCGATGTGTGAGACGGGTACACTGTACCAGCAATCATTTAAATAGCTAATAGAAGAGTTACCACTTGGCTCTTAAAATGCCGCGCCAATAAGGTTTCGCAACTTCTTCCCAAAAATCCAATTACGCTTTGGCGAGAATATTATGGTCTGCCCTCCGTGTATATCATATAAATGATACACGCAAACGTCGGGTCGTCCTCGGAGTGCTATTTGTATCATTTCAATGATACGTGTAACTACCTAGGTTTTCCAAAGTCGGACTGACTTCCAATATAGTAACCCCATTATCATATAACGCATGTGTGAGACGGGTACACTGTACCAGCAATACATTTAAATAGCTAATAGAAGAGTTACCACTTGGCTCTTAAAATGCCGCGCCAATAAGGTT